GTGCAAGGCCCCGCAGGTGAGGTCTCCAGGACCACTGCACCAAGGAAGAAGAGAAAAGTGGTGGTGGTGGGTGACTCCTTTCTGCAGAGCATCAACTGGCCAGCCAATAAAGAGAGCTTTGAACTAGGTTCTGCAGGTGAGGGATGAACTAAACCTTCTAGTAACAAAGCACACAATCCAGACGACTCAAAAAGACTCAAAGCAGCAGCTTAACTCTGGGAAAGGGCCAGAAAGCTACAGCACTGCAACAAGTGGCGCTAAAGGGAAGCAAATACGTCAAAATGCAAAATACGCCCAACGCACATATGTAAAAACAAAAAGTATGAGAAATAAAAATAAGATGAGTGGAAAGCTGCAGCCTGTGAAAAAAACTATGATCTGACAAGCATCACCAAGAACTGGTAGGACAGCTCTTATGACTGGAATGTCAACATCAAAGGTTACACTGTTTCTGAAGGACGGGGTTAGGAGAAAAAGTGGCAGTGTTGCCTTTATGTCAAAAACACATACACTGGTTGCCTGGTTCAGGAATACAGCAATGCAGAATGCATTTGGGTGAAGATAAAAGGTGAAAGATGTGGCAAAATAATGGTGGGGATTTATTATAGGCCATCTGATCAAGAAGAGGAGGTGGATGATGCACTCTTCAAGCAGGAGACAAATCTATTCAAAAGCTATGGGATGGTACTGATGGGACACTTCAATTCTCCAGACGTATGCTGGAAAAACAACGCAGCCAAACATAAAATGTAAAGCCAGTTCCTAACTTGTGTAGAGGACAAATTTCTGTTCCACTAAGTAGAGGATTACCGATCTGGATCTTGCCCAGGGAAGAATTGGTGGAGGATGCGAGGGTGATGGGGAACTTGGAAGGAAGTGATCACAATACGATATAATTCCAGATATTTAGACAGGGAAAGCATGAGGTTAGGAAAATTAGGACACTAGATTTCAAAAAAGCCAATTTCATTCGACTCAAGGAGTTAATAGGCATGGTGTCATGGGAGGACAGATTGAAGGATAAAGGCACCCAGGAAGGCTAGTGGCTTCTAAGGGGCACAGTACTGGAAGACCACTTAGAAACAGTCCCAACACAATCTCCTTCTTTGACAAATTAACTGCTTGGGTGGATGAAGGGAATGTTGAGGACATAGTTATCTGGACTTCAACAAGACTTTGGACAAAGTCCCGCATGACTACCTCATAAACAAACTGGAGAAATGTAGACTAGACAAAACTACTACAAGGCGGACAGATAACTGCCTCAGAAGCCACCAGCAAAGAGAAATTATTAATGGGTCCATATCTGAATGGCAGAAGGTTTCAAGTAGAGTCACACAGCAATCTATCATGGGCCCAGTGCTGTTCAACATGTTTATTAACAATTTGGATGCTGGCATAGAAAGCTCCTTAAGCAAGTTTGCAGATGACATGAAACTGAGAAGGACTGTGGGAGCAATTCAAAACTGAGAAGGATGTGAGAGCAATTCAGAAGGATCTCGACAGATTGGAAAACTGGGCTAAAGCTAATAGGATGAAGTTTAATGCAGAAAAATACAAGGACCTACACTTCAGGAGGAATAATCAAAAACACAAATATAAAATGGGTGACACACCTTACTGTATAGCAGCACTATGGAGAAGGACTTGGGAGTCTTGACAGATCACAGACTCAACATGACTGCACTGTGATGCAACCGCACAGAAAGTGAATGAGGTTTTGAGGTGCATCAACAGAAGCATCAGGTGCAAGGCATGAGAGGTAATAGTGCCTCTCTACTCAGCACCAGTTAGGCCTCATGTGGAGTATTGTGTGCAGTTCTGGGCTCCACATTTTAAAAAGGACATGGAGAAGTTAGAGAGGGTCAAGAGACAGGCAACAAATATGATAAAAGGGTTTGGAAAGCAAGTCATATGAAGACAGCTAGGCATGTTCAGCTTGCATAAATGTACTTAAAAAGGGATGTGATAGCAGTGTTCAAATTCTTGAAAGGCTGCCATAAAAATGAGGGAAATCACTTTTTCTCTCTTGCTGTAGAGAAGAGAACACAGACCAATGGCTTGAAGTTGCAACAAAGTAAGTTTGGACTAAATATCTTCTTTGCTGTTAGAATCATGAGGCAGTGGAATAGACTGCCTTGGCAAAGGGGAGCGACTGATGGACTCTCCACCACTGGAGGTGCTCAAGAAAAGGTTGGACAGCCCCTGATCTAGGCATAGATATGCCTGTTCTCTACTATGAGTATTTCCCATGTTTCTGGGCTTTGTTGGTTGCCTGCATGCCCATGTATCAGGGTGTTTTTGAGCCTCCCTCAGTGACATTGGGTGTTGGCTACAGCCAAGGCTGGGGACTACCACTGGGGCATGCCAATGCTCCTGCTGGGACCAAAGCCAGAGGTTCCTGGCTAAAGGTTTTTGCCACTCAACTCAGGGTCAGACCTATCACCATATTTAGGGTCAGGAAAAAATGTTACCCTATGGGGGTTTGGACTGTGGGGCTTTTTGTCTTCATTTCCAGCAAGGGGCATGGGCCTCTACCTGGGCCTCTTGAGCATATATTAACATTTCATAGAAGCAGGACATTGGCTGCTGTGGTTCCCCTGCTTGCTGTACCTGTGGCAGGTTAGGGAGTTAGGTTTGTGTTGTGTCAGTGTTGATAGTAGTCTTATGTAAAAGTTTAAATTATGGATTGTATGGGATGGTTTGGATAGGGATGATCTTGCTTCAGGCAAGGGTTGGACTAGATGACCTCTGGAGGTCCCTTCCAGCCCTACTTCTGTATGATTGTATGACTGTATGATGTGGCAGTGTTCATCAGGACCCAGAAGGAACATCTTCAGTGGATCAGAGCAGTGCTACAGTGACTTTAGTGAATCCAGCAAAATGTTAGGACACCAAATATTTGAGGTGTACAGTAAGCAATGGTGATATCAAGCCCTTGTTGATAAAAGTAAAGGCCTTGATAAAGTATCCTGTACCCAAGACAAAAAGGCAAAGTAGGTAGCACACTTGTCACAGCAGACTGTGGATGACAATTTCTGAGCACAGACAACTCTGATTTATCAGGCCATTCATTATACAGAACAGTTCCATCAGGTCGCACTTTGTAGGTGCAATGGCAACAAAGAAGAAAAGCCTCCTCACTGCCACCACTGCCACAACAGTCATTTGAAATTGCTCTTCGGCACAATAAATTGCCTTTGGCACAAGACAAGAGTCATTTGCACTCTAAATGCCTTCCCTCTCACTTCAGATATAACTATCATTAAGCATGCAAGGTGTTCTACTGATTTCAAAAGGATGGTTCATAGGTTTCAAAAATTAACCATAGGTTAAGTCTTTTGACGAAGAAGAGTCAGGCTATTCTACCAGACACTTGTTTCTGCTGCCATAGAAGTCAGTGACAAAATTCCTTTTCATTTAAACACAAGCATGATCTGTTTGCTACTTTTCAAACAGGGCATATCTAGAGCACGTTGGTAGCTTTGTGTGCTTCTTATCCAGGACATGTTCATTCCCTGCAGTCAACCAGAGTAGCATGCAAGGAAAAAAGCACATGATAGGGCTTGTTTTATTTACATGAAACTGTGTGAAGTACCTGCTTTGTACTTCAAAGAAGCTTTGTCCTAGAGTAATGGCTTTCAACCAGGGTGCTGCAGTTTCCCAGGGTCCTATAAGAACCAACCAGGGGTGCTGTGCCACTGCTAGCATGTGGTGAATCTGCCAGGCACCCTGGTTTTCAGGAAGCACGTTGGAGCTGAACTGAGAAGCAGCTGCAGCAGAAAGGCATGCCTGCCCGCATAACATGATGCAAGCAGGCGCACTGCTTCTGCTGCATCTCTTCCCAGTTTGGCTCCAATGCACCTCCTGAAACCTGAGGTGCACGGTACGGTTCTATCTGGTGGCAGCAGCATCAGTTTCCAAGCTGTTACTGCCACGGGATGAAAGTGTATCATGTGCCTCAGTTTCCAGGAGACACAGTGGAGCCAAACCAGGAACAGCTGCAGCAGAAGTGGCACACCTACCTTTATAACATAATACAGGCAAGTGCACCTTTCTGCTGCAGCCGCTTCTCATTTCCTCTCTGATGTGCCTCCTGAAAACCAAGGTGTGTGATGTAATTTCACCCTGTACCCAGTGGTGGGAATGACTGCACCACACCACCCACTTGGCTGGCCCCCCTCCACCCTCCCTGGCCTCATGCATCCTTTTGCATACCCTGTCCCTTCCACCCCATCAGCACTTTCCATGTGCTGTGTGTACAGCTAAGCACTTCATCCCTGCTGGCTGGATGTCCCCAGACTATCCATTACGGCATCAGGGCTGGAGCTCAAGGGGGATCACCCTGGGGTAACTCAAATCAGAACCTGGCCCAGTGGCTCCCAATCCCCACTGGTGACAGGAAGTTTATAGACTCCATGATTGGGCTGGTAGCAAACATGCACAGAGCTAGGCAGAACTAGGGGAGAACTCCCTGTCAGCAATCTGAAGGGATGAATATAATAACAACATATTAATTAATATTTCTATTATAATATTCATATTAATTATTCAATGCAGTGCTGCTAAATTCTGACAAGTTTTGGAGGAGTGCTTTGAGTGAAAAACGTTGAGAAACACTGTTGTAGAAGGATCACATGGATGCCATAAGAATCACTTGGCTATTAAATGTAAAACTTGGTAAGCTGACAGGGCTTGTTTCACGGATTATTTTTATGCTCCATCCTTTTCTTCTGGAAGACCATAAAGTCAACTGGAAATTACTGCTTTTGTTTCTCATTTGTTTTTACAGTAAATATATGAATCACTTTAGACTCCTCTTATACTTATTGCTGTATTATAGGCATAATAATTTACTGAGGTTAACTGCAACAGACATCTGACATCAAGCGTCTTTCCTTAAGACTACCTAACCAATCTAGATCTGCTATTGTTTATAGTATATAAGTGATCAGACTTAGCAACAGTCAAAGTGAGATAACAGGTTTCCAGGAATTCACCTCTTTGCACGCTCTAGGTCATCATTGGCCTGTTCCAGTTCCCTTACGTATTTGTGCAGTTGGTCCTTAATGGCTCGTGTTTGACTCAGGTCATCTTCCAATAATGACACTTGCTTGTAACTTTGTGCATACTGGTGTTCAAGTTTCTCCTGAAAATAAGAGGGGAAACTATATTAATATCATTAAAATGCACCTTTCTAAAGTCAAGTCAGTAGTCAAACAGGACAAATAAGGTAACTCACTAGCGCCAATCATCTCACTTGAGACTGCTAGCAGTAGCAAGAAGGAACATAAATATTAGTAAGAATATTTCCTAGACATTAGAACTGGACACCATAAAATAGAAAAAGCCAATGTTGCAAAAAGCACAAATACAGTCAGCAAACGCCTGGCTGTTCTTTAAGGAGCATATCAACTGTTCTGAAGAGCTGGCGATGACAGGTCCCTTTAGGCCTTTAAATCCAAGTGGCCAGATGAAAGTCTGACTGTACCATCAGGCTGTGACTGGAACTGGCTCAAAATCTGGCCTGTTAGCAAAAATGAGAGACACTGGTAGTTGTTACTAAGCCTCCCAACTACATAGGACAAATCAAACTACCTTGTAGCTTAAGACCTTTTCCTGAAAAACTACAGAAAATTAACTGTTGACTAAACTTGTTCCAGAAAGTTGAGAAGACATCTATCTTGGATCTTGTCCTGCCCAATAGGGAAGGACTGATAGAGGATGTGAAGATGATGGGAAACTTGGGAGGAAGGAGTCTTGATATGACAGAATTCGAGATCCTAAGACAGCATACAGGCAATGGAAAAAAGGGCAGGTCACCAAGGAAGCATACCAGAAAACAGCAAGAACCTGCAGAGACAAAAATCAGGAAGGTAAAGATAAAGAATGAGCTGCACCCAGTGAGGGAGGATAAAGACAACAAGAAGCATTCCTGTAAGTATGCTGGTCAGAAAAGAAAGAAAAAGAAGCTGGGGGTCCACTGTTAACTAGCCTGGGAGAACTCTTGCCAGAAGATGCAAGGAAGGTGGAGCTACTCAACAGCTAATTTGCCTGTCTTCACAAAAAAATGTAAGCTTCAACCAGACAACAGACAAGGATTATTTGGATAAGGAAGGGGACAAGCTGAGGGAGAAGATAACAAGAGAGACAGTTAGAGAGCTTTTGATGAGTCTGAATGAATTCAAGTCAGCAGGGCCTGAGAAACTTCATCCCAGGGTGCTGAAAGAACTGGCAAAGGAAATGTTGGAGCCCTTGGCAATAATCTTCATAAAGTCATGGGAGATAGGCCAGGTAACAGAGGATAGGAAAAAGGGCCAACATAGTGCCCCTTTATTAAAAAGGCAAAAAAGAAACTACAGATCCATTAGCTTCTTTTCAATACCCAGGAAGTTACTGAAGCATATCCTAAGAAAGTCCATTTGGAAGCATCTGGAGGAGGAGAGGCTGATCACAAGCAGCCAGCACAGATTTTCTAAGATAAATAGTGTCAAACAGATTTGATCTCCTCCTTTGATAAAGTAACTCCTTAGGTGGTTGAAGGGAATTCTGTAGATATGGTGTATCTGGACTTCAGCAAGGCTTTTGACAAGGTCCTACGTGACTCTCTCAAAGTAACTGAAGAAATGTGTGCTAGACATAACTGCTACAAGGTGGATAGACAACTGGCTCAATAACTACAGCAAAGGGTATTTATAAATGGATTCATGTCAGAATGGCAGGAGGCAGAAGTCCCACAGGAAGTCTGTCCTGGGCCCACTGCTGTTCAATCATACAAGGATTTGTATGCCAGAATAGAGCGCTTACTTAACAAATTTGTAAAAGACATACAACTGAGAAGGACAGCAAACACACTGGAGAATGGGACCACAATTCAGAAGGATCCTGATACACTGGAAAGCTGGGCTGGAGCTAACAGGATGAAGTTCAATGCTGACAAATGCGAGGTTGGGAAGAAGAACCAAAAACACAAATACAAAATGGGTGACACCTAGCTGGATGGCTGCACTACAGAAAGAGATCAGGGAGTCTTGGTAGATCACAGGCTAGACATAAGCCTACAGTGTGATGTAGATGCACAAAAAACAAATGCAGTTTTAGGATTATCAATAGAAGCATTAAGTGCAAGACACAGGAGTTTCCATTTGGCACTGGATAGGCCTCATGTAGACTATTTTGCGCAGTTTAGGCTCCACATTTTTAAAAGGATGTGGAGAAGTTAGAGAGGGTTCAGAGGCTTCCCTTCTTCCTGCTAAGTGTATCATGGTCCTTCTAGGATCTTCTAAACATATAAACTAACTAGTGCTCTGTAGTCGCAGGGCACTGGCACTGCCCGTCTTCCCTGATTTTATCAGCACATTATAGGGTATCCTGATATTTTCTGGGTATTTTGCCTTACAGTGTGAGGCCCAATCAGCTGACCAGGACTCCCAGTCACATGAGTGCAGGGAGTTAAGCTTGCCATTTGCCAGTGAGGAAGAGATCTGGATTGTGCTCCCCCCGACCAGCAATATGGTGCAGTGGGATCTGACGCTCAGTCCCACAGTCATGCTTCCTGCCATGCATCTGTGGCATGGCAGGAAGCACAACTATCAGGATCCCACATCAGATCCCACTGCAACTTTAATGTCTGTTAGGGGCCACTAACTCGTATTCCAGTGCAATTTACAGGTTTCCCTCAATTTATGCGGTACATGCATTCCCGGAAAACTGTGCATAAACTGAATTCGCATAAAGGGAAGCCAGTTAACAATGTGAGAAATAAGGATACATTCCCATGGCGGTGAGGGAGGGAGGGAGGAAGGTGGCAACTAAGCAGTGAGGGAGGGAGGTGTGCAGCGCAGCCCTTCAGCCACTCCCGGGGCTGCAGGAGGGAGCAAAGCAGAGGAAACTGTGAGTGGGTGTGAGGCACGGGAAGAGGGGGTGGCAGCAGCTCTTCCTGCTATGCGCACCCTGGGAGGGCTGCAGGCTGGGGGGGCTGCACCGGCCTCTTCCCAGGGGGCACGAGCCCCAAGGTCTGTGTGCGATAGGAGAGCCGGCTGCTGCTGCAGGCTGGGGCCAGCGGTGGCACTGGGCTCTTTCCAGCACTCAGGGCGGGCCACGGCAATGGGGGGGGGCTGCTACCACCCCAAAATCTGCCATAGGCCCTGCCCCTGCAAGGCCACCACCAAGTGCCAGGAAGAGCCCAGGGCCACCACCACCCCAGCCTGCAGCAGCAGCCTGCTCTCCTCCCGCATGCAGATCCGGGGGCATGCATCCCCAGGAAGAACCCAGTGCAGCCCCCCAGCCCACAGCCCTCCCAGGGTAGCAGCAAGAGTCATCCTCCCCTCGTCCCATGCCCCACACCTACTCACAGTTTCCTCTGCTTTGCTCCCTGCTGCTGCCCTGGGAGCAGCTGACAGGCTGCACCACACCCCTCCCCCCTCCCCTACAGACTTACTTCGCTGCACCCTGGGCCTCTGCTTCTCCCCACTCACCCCAGCCCCTGCTGCAGTGGCCCCGGGAGCAGCCAACACCACCTGCCTGCACCACGGCACGGCGCAGCCCAGGGGCTGGGGTGAGCGAGCAAGAGGAGCCCTGGAGCCGATCGCATAAGAGTGAATTTACCTCACACATAATTAATTTGGGGTATAAAAAGGGCCATAGCACAAGAGCAAATTTGCATATACAGAACCCACATAAATTGAGGGAAACCTGTATACCATTTTCAAAAACTGATGTAAACTGCACTAGGATCAGAAATGGACAGATGTGCAACTGTCCCATGGTACCTCACACAAGAAGCCAGGCCACCAGGTGGTAGGGACCAGGTCAACAATCTGTTTTAGCAACTGATACCCACCATGCTTGTGGACAGATGAAACCTATACTGTACAATGTACACTGGTTAAGTTTTACCCTGATTCTTTCACAGATCTTTCTTCACTGAATGGGATAATGTTACCCTAGTTCAGGGGGTTGTTTTTACCTGTATGCTTTTTTTACCCTGATTATAAAAAGGCCTTACAAAGCCAGCCATTGCAGGTCTCAGAGAATCCTTATGCAAGAGAAACTAAACACCAAACTCAGAATCAAGGAATCCTGAATACTCTACCTCTTATTACATGACCAAGAAACAGAGCAAATTCCTCCAGGAATTTCCTCAACCTATGAAGTAGCTGGTAAGTACTTGGCCTTGAATGAAAATAAATGCTATATTTAAGACTGGATTTCAAATTGATTACTCTTCTCTCTCTACTCTCCAGATGTGGAAAAAATTACCAATACTTGTGCAGGCAAGACAATCTAACACAGGGCTATACATGAGCATCTAAAACATGTCCACAAGAACAAGTCATTCCATACCTTTAATGTTTCTACTTCGTATTTCAGTCTTTGGTTATCTGCCTGCAAGTCTCTATTCCTCTGTTCAGCCTGCACTAGCTGGGCCTCCAATTCTGCTTCCAATTCTCTGCTTCCCTCCTGGAATTCAGCCAGCTCTTCCCGGGCCTCTTGGAAACTGTAAGGAGAGGATTTATATCAGTCATGGATCTAGTTCATCAAGGAATAACAAAACTATCTGTTATTCTCTAGAGATAGCAGGCCCAAACAAACATTTCTTCATGTGGCCGGACTCATTTAAACAGTGACCGTTTAAAAAGGAAGAAAAAACTTTGAAAGGTAGGAGTTACGTTAAGCTTGGCAATTGAAACATCATTACTATGCATTAAACAAGCAACTGTATTAAATCCAATTCCATGAACTAAGTTTATTAAAAGGGTGCCTTAGAGTAGTGATTCCCAATCGGAGTACCATGGCATCCTGGGGTGCCTTAAGATCCTTCACAAGATAAACCCAGAGATTTCAAATAGAAATCCATAGTGTTAAAACCTTCTGACCCACTGAGGTCTTTTTGAGTTCTTTGCAACAGTTTTGCTCTTTTCTGTAGTCAAAACATGAGTGAAAAGTAAAAACTAGCATTTTCTGAGGGGTGCCTTGAATCTAAAAAGGCTGAGAACCACTACCTTAGAGTCCAACACTCCCTGTATTCCTCATTACATTTCACAGCTAGTATTTATTAAACAGTTTCACAGTCCTGCTATTAGCCACTGAGTAAGTACAAAGTTGAATTTAATCTGGTGTTGACTGAAAAGCAGTTTAGCAGTACATAAGTATACATCTACATCACTGGAACATTTCAAATTTACATTCAAACCTCAATTTTTTTTCTGAAACATTGAGATTATTAAGCACTTAGGCAGGAAGCCAGCACATACTTACCTTATACCACTGCAGGGTATTAAATTGCTAAAAGTAGCCACTCAGCATACTCCGTGTACTAAGTCCGCATCTGCCCTGAATTTAAGAGCTCAGCTCTTAGCAAGCAGTAAAAACTACACAGGAAATTAAACTATGAAAGGTATAGAAAGCAAAGCTGTCACTGACTCTACAAGGTGCCAATTTTCCGACACCAAAGAATGGCTCAGGAGATGTCAGGTCCTTTCAGATTCTCCCTCTGAAATATGCCAGTTTTGTTCATAGACAGCAAAATGTCTTCTAGACTCTGATGTGCCTCTCATGACTGGAGTAAGTTTTGCTTGCTGTATCCCCAGCACACACAAGAGAAACACAGAACAGGAGGAAAATGCTCCACTGAAAAGCAAACAGAATTCCTCAGAATTTTTATTAGCTTCAATGGTCATTAAAAGAAATCCATAGACCTGGATCAGTACGAGTCTCCAACAGAATTCAGGCAAGCTGGAGTCCAATTAAAAAAAAAACCCCTAGAATTCTTAAAGGAGAGAGAGGGAGACTCCAAAGTTAAGCTTCATACCAGTAACTACTTCAAGGAGCATAAAGGAATTGGTAAGATAAAAGCATAGGAGAGTGGCAGCATTCAAATGATAAAATATCCTCTTGTTATTTGAGGCAACACTTAGACAATACAGAGATGATAAATAATAACAGAAGTTCCTACTGAAACAGGCTACAAACCACAGCTTAGGGTTCACAGGGTGGTAATGCCAGGCATGACACTGTCAGGTCCAAGCAGCTGGATTTTCATTCACTGATCTACCCATTTCAAAGTTGAAAATGCAGAAATTCATGTTGATATCTGAGGCATCAAAGTATAACCCTTGGAGAGAGTCTCAGCTGTGTTCTGTTCATTTAACCCAGTAATAAGAATTGTTGTTAAAGCAAAACAATACCTTTGTTTGTATTTAAAGGAAAGCTCTTTCCAATAAGCAGTTTCCTCCTTTGGACTTGAAAAAGTTGGGATTCCTTCACTGTCCATGATCAATTTAAACCTGCAAAATGCAAACACAAAGAGACAAATAAGATGCTACTCTGGGACTGCTGCTAAATTCTGGGGTTCATTATTGTGGCTTTCCCTGAGTTTCTGCCTTTCTGAGAAATGTATATGAATTCAGCTTTCATGAAATACTAACAATAGAGAGGATGACTGCATCTGCAAAAGAAAGCAACATACTTGCTATTCCAGTTCACAAGACAGGGGTATAGCAGTTTGTGATCCAAATATACAGAAACCAAAAAAAAATCCACCCCAACTCAAAAAAGAATTAGTAGCATCACACACTTGATTAGGATTTATTTCAACAAGGGCGGCCATGTCTACACGAGACACTGACTGTGCAGTAGCCCATGTGGCAGGAAGTGTGATGTGACACCACTGTGCAAGTCATGAGCTACTGCACAGTCAGCGTCATGAAGCCATTCCTTGGTCATTTAGTACTTGTTTATACAAGTACTAAATAACTGCGCAGTCGGCGTCTCATGTAGATGTGGCTACCATCTACTCTTATGAGGATTACTTTTAAAATTAGCAGTCCTCACAATTTACATTTTCATCCATTTAAAATAGGTGTTAAAAAGAGGTATTTTTTAATGTTAGCAACACACTCATTAATACAAGTTAAAATTCCCATTAGGGTAACAAGAGGCAGACACTTTGAGCTTAGCCATCCAGCTATGCTATACAAGCAGGGAATTCAGGCCCTATCCAGGTTTTGCTCTGAACTAAAATTTTGCCTATAAAGAAGGAAGTGACCAAAACATTTTCATTCCCTCAGTCCTCTCAAGTGAATGAGAAGTGGGCAGAAGAGTTACCATATGATTAAGCAGACCATCACAGAACAGTGTTTAAAAGTGGTGGTGAAGTCAGGTTGTAGCTGTGATGGTCCAGGAAATATGCGAGGCAAGAATTTTTGTGGGTGGTATCTTTTATGTGGCCAACAGCATGACTGGGAGAGTCTTAAACAAGGTTTTGGGTAAGAGTCTAGGTGCTCAATCCAGATGAGGTAAATGTCACCTATGTATCACAGGTATAGTGCTGGTTTGGCACGTGTCAAAAACTCAATGATCCACCTGCCTACTTCTCCTTCCCCAATGCCTCAGTAGTCAAGGACAAGGACAATTCCTTTTTTGAGGAGCTCAGAGGCACAAAACAACTCTGCTGAAATTAATAAAAACAAAATCTGACAAGTCGTAGAGGGTGATGCTTTATAAATAAAGCCAGTGCGTTCTCTTTTCAGAGCAGAAAGCTGAACTCATTCAGAGGGTGCTAAGAGCACCTCAGAATTACTCTCAACCCACTCCTTAAATGCACCTCTGTAAAATGCCCCTTTTTATAATTACAAAATGAGTATTATTAATAATTTATATTATGATCATTCCTAACAGCCCCAGTCATAGATTGGGATAATAGATTAAAAGACAGTCACAGTTATAAATCAAATGATAATCCCTAACCCAAAGAACTGACAACCTGAACTTCTTTTTTCTCTTCCACATTTCACTGTCTGACAGGGTAAATTTACACATAGATCCATTATAATCCCTATCAGCACACATTCATTCACATTTGACAATAGCACCATATTTTTATGGGTAAATTTTCAAGGGACAAATCTGATTGACTATTTTTTCTTTGAAGAGGGAATTGTGCTAGTTGCCCTTGGCTGTGCATCAGGAGTGTAAACAGTCTCTGTGTAAAGCAGACTAGCTCCAGCATTATTATTACTAGGCAGCAGCAGCACAGGAGTTCGCAACAGAAAACACTGCTGAGAATTTCACAGCTAAACTTTCACAGTTATTTTCTAGTTCATGAAAATCAGTGAAAAGGACTATTTCCAATGCCTTGCTTAATCTTTAAAAAAATTGCTTAGGACTATTATTTGTAACCGCTACAGCTTTATCAACATAATTTTTTTACAATAAATGAACAAAGCATAAAGCTCCTATATAACGGCTCCTCACTTACAGGCCTGTAGTCCCCTCGATTCAAATTCAAGATGATCGTGTGAACGCAGCTGAAGTATTCAATCCCCTTCTGCTCAAAATCTGCCTATATCAGTGAAACATTTGTTATCAGAACACAATACATGACAAACAAGTCATGCCCTGTCCCTCTAGGGAGTCCATCACTATCACGTGGCACATTTAATACGTTTTAGATTAAGAACAAACATTTCCCCCAAAATACAGGATGCACAAGTTTAGACACTAACTACTTTGAAGCTGCAATATTAAAAGATAAACAAGGGGAAGGCTGTATGTCAGGACATTCCAGTTTGCCTTTAGAGAAGGGCTTACATCATTTTCTACAGGCAGCTAAGATGCGTCTCAGATGTACATCCATTCAGAGCCTTCTTTCTGTCTGCGCAAGCGAGCTACACCTTTGGAAACAAACACCTGAGGCATCTCTGCTGACTGTAGAGATCCAGAGGGGCATGGGAGAAAGGATGTCTTTCCTTTATAAAAAGGTCTAGTAATTTGTAATATAAGCAGTTTGCACCTTAATATAACCTTCTGCACCCTACGTTCCACCTACGTAAGGTCAAAAAATCCTGGTGTACCCCTCTCCCGTCCCGCCACGACCAGTGAGACCAGGACTTTTTGACCTTACGTAGGTGGGACATAAGGTGCAAAAGGTTGAGAACCGCTGACCTAGACTAGGGACAGAAGTTACACAAACTGGTTCACGTGATCAGAAACTGGTTTAAACCTGTAACCAAACAGAAGCGCAGTGAACATAAACCAGTTTCAAAATGGCTGAAACTGGTTTAAGATAAACCTGGTTGTACGTAGTATCAGACTTAACTGATTTAGGTCAAACTGGTTTATGAAACTTCTGTCCCAGACCCCTTCCTGGTTCAAATTAGATCACTGTCCCCCAGCATCCCAGCATGCTTTGCAGCCCTGGGCTGGGCTGTCTGATCCAGAGAGCAGGGTTGGCTCCACCCCTCTGCTCCCTAGCTGGAGAAGTGAGGGTTGGCTGACAAAGGGGTAGGGGGCAAGCCTGGCTGGGGATGCAGCCCAGTCTATGGGGGGGGGCTGCCCCCCAGTCAAAGCCAGGAGCCAGGGGAGGGGAGTTAAACACCCCTTCCCCTGCTCAAAGTTACTGGTGGCTGCAACTGTGGCCTACAAATCCCAGAGGCACCTGGAAGCAGGAAGAGGAAGTGATGAACAATCCTGCCAAGTCCTGCTGCTGTAATTCTGGACTGCAAATCCCAGAGACCTTGGGGGCAACAGGAGAGAAAGAACACACAGCCAGAGAGCCGTGCTCTACTGCCTGCCCCCCACCCCCCTGTTTCTGGCCTGAGCCACTGCAGGCATATGGCTCCATTTCCTGAATCAATGGTAAACATCTGTTCACTTCTGTTTCAATTTAATCTGTGCAGCTTAAACTAACCTGCAAAGACTGAATCTATTCAGCCTCAGGCTTCTTGACCGTCTGTACCTAGCCCTAATGAGATATAAGCAGGGACAGATTGACCAAGCCACCTTACCTCCTTGGTACCCACAACAGCAGAGATAAGCTTGTTACAGAGAAGACCAGACAAGCACCTAGCTGGGGTCGTCTGACCCCAGTACTCTTTCCTACCCAGGGCAGGGGGTCAGACTCAATGACCCTTCCAACCCTAACATCTATGAATCTATAATGAGAAGATAAGTTAGCACAAATCCCCTGCAATACCCTCGTATGGAAAGACTCAGAGGAAAAATGTTGGACCTCTGGAGCTACAAAAATGTTTCCTCCAAGTCAGGGAATAGACCATGCTTCATCTAAACATTGCATTTGGCTGAGGGGTAGGCAGGTTATGAGCCTATTTAAGGATGAAACAAAAGGGGGAAAAGACTTTAGTTTCACCCAGAAATGTCCTCACTGGCACTGTAGAAAAGGAAGCAAGGGGCTAATATACTCTCAGTCACCATCTCACACACAAAATGGCCAGCTGGCCTTGTTCTGTACTAGCTGGAAGATGACCCAGAAGCTTCAATCAGTCCTACATGCCTGTTGTCCACCCAATGGGTGATGAAAACCTAGTTAAGCATGGGGAGGTATGTATGTGACAAAGCCGTGAAAGACAAACGAGGTATTTCTGGTCATCACTGCTACCTAGGAATCAGAAGGAGATATAAGTACTGTGAACTACTCTGTTATACCCGTACAACTTCCATCAGTGGAGGGAAAACAAAAAACTAACAGCAAATACTTTTCTTTCTACCTCCCAGTATGACCAGGGTTTTTTTCTACCTGATATCTAATCACTTATGTCTAGTGGGAGAACAAGACAACAATTATACCCAGGTACATCAAAATACAGAAGTGAGTTGTGAGCAGTTAGTACAGCCCACAGAGCCTCAAAACCTCATCCATAATTTCATAAGTGTTGAACAGGGAAGGGTCTCTCAACACCAATTCTCTTCAAAACCTGAAGGTCCACAGGAATCTCCAGCAGCCTCTCTATAAAAAGCTCTCTCCCCTGTTCACCAATGAAAGCAACACTGAGGAACTCTGGAAGGGGTGCAAAACTGCTATTCATATGGGCTGTGTTGAATCTATTGGCTATACAACCCATCAACACCAACACTGGTTCAATGAGAATGACACTGAGATCCAAGTCCTCCTTGACTGGAAGAGAAGGGCTCATTCTGCTTAGCGAGATGATACCTCATCTCCACAGAAGAAGGAGACATATCAGTTCCTCCTCAAAGCTGAAGGTCAAAGAGGATCTGGGAAAACCAAAAATCGGTGGCAAGATAAAACCAAGGAGATCAAGCTCTATGCTGACAAACATGACATACATAGTTTTTTCCAGGCAATGAAAGCCATCTACGACCCAATTTCCCAAGGTCCTACTTTCCTGAGATCATAGGATGGCTCAACACTCCTCAAAGACAGTGAATCTATCCAAGATCGTTAGAAAGAGCACTTTGAGGCACTCCTAAACCATGTTTCAACTGCGGTGGATGCCACCATCAAATCAATTCATGAAACTTCATGAATTTATTATTTGAATTTGGAACAACAGAGAGATTCCTGGGGGCCTGAGGAATGCCAATATAGTGACTATCTTCAAGAAAGGAGATAAGTCTGTGTGTGGGAACTATTGCGATACTGCCCTCCTTTCCAGAGCAGGGAAAATCCTCGCCTACATTCTCCTGAATCATCATCTACCTCTTGCTGAGGAAGTCCTGCAAGAATCTCAGTGAGGTTTCAGGCCACCCCACGTGGCAACTGACATGATCTTTGTTGCTTGCCAGGTCCAAGAAAAGTGTCAGGAACAACATCAAGACCTGTATGTGGCCTTCACTGAGCCTTTTGAGTCCATCAATCATGAAGCCTTCTGGAAAGTACTGTCCAGATTTGGATGTCCTGAAGTACATCCAGTTCCTGAGGCTCCTCTATGACCAGATGACTGCAACCATTCTATGTAGTGGATCAGAGACAGATCCATTTGTCATCCAAACTGGGGTCAAGCAAGGATGTATCATCATCCCACCTCTGTTCTCCACTTTTCTGACAGTCATCCTGGTTCTTACTGGACACATCTACACAAGATGCTAATTGCACAGTAACCTAATGTTACCATGCATTAGCATTCAGGGCAAAAACAATGCTAATACACTAATGTGCAGTAGCATTAGGCTACTGTGCAGTTAGCATCATTAAAAAGCCATGCACCAGCACTACTGCACAGTAGCGCCAGTTACTGTTCATTGATTTAGTACTTGGTTATACAAGTACTAAACTTAATGCACAGTAACTATAGTGCATTAATAAACATGTAGACATGCCCATTAAGAACCACCCTCCTTTCAGAATTGACACTGGATTCCAAGTGGATGGAGGGCTCTTCAATCTAGGTCATCTTCGCTCGAAGACCAAAGTACTCAAAATAACTATCCCTTACCTTCAACTTGCCAACAATTGTGCCATCCTTGCGCACACTGAGAAAAACCTCCAGACAGCACTGAATCTTTCTGGAGAAGCCGTTTCTCTCAACGTCAAGAAGACTGAAGTGTGCTGGCAGCCTGCTCCAGACCATGAATGTGCCCTCCCCTCCCCAAATTACCATTGAGAGGAAGACCCTGGAGGTAGTCAAGCACTTCCCCTCTACTGCAGTAGCCATCTCTCCCAGAGAGTGAACATTGATGAGTAGATCCAGCACAGGATCTGATGCGCAAGTGCCTCTTTTCAGAAATTGTTTCAGCATGTCTTTATTTATTGCGATCTTCAGAAGGACACCAAGATCCAGGCCTACAAAGCAGTCGTCATCCCCACTCTCCTCTATAGATTCAAAACATAGGTAACCTACTGTCATCATCTCAAAAGTGTGTAGATGCATCACCAACAAAGCCTCCAGAAAATCCTACACCTCAAATAGGAAGATCACCACATGAATGCCAACATCCTTGCTGAAGCCAATGTTACCAGCACTGAGTTGGTGATCCTCAAGCACCAACTTTGCTGGACCAGACATTGTGTGTATTTGCTTGACTCTCAGCTCCCAAAACAAGTGCTTTACTCCAAGGTTTGTAATGGTCTGAGATATTGCAGTGGCCAAAGGAAATGCTATGAGGACACACTGAAGGCATGCCTCAACAAAATGGATGCCAACATCAAGATGTGGGAGAAGCTGGCTGTTGACCACCTCCAACTGCGCCGCAACCTCAAACAAGTGGCTGCCTGTTTTGAGGTAAAGCATCTTGCCTTCAAAGCAAAGAAGAGAGTAGAGAAAGGAACAAGGAGAGAAATCCTGGCCTGTGGCCTACCCTCCCCTGCAGTAAGATCTGCAATTTCTGTGGACAGATCTGTGGCTCATAGATTGGACTCTTAAGTCACTTCAAGACCCAACACTGAACTGTGGTAGAGATCATCCTCGAATCAAGGGATTGCCAACAACAATGACTGGAAGCCCAAGAGCCCCTGAGCCACAACTCTTCCTCCTCAACACTACCACTGAGATCCATTCACAAGAACTAAGAGTAATCTCTTAAAAAACAAATCAGACAACACTTGCCAGGTCCTACAGTTGAACTGGTAGTGTCTTATGATTA